TGAGGAATGGAGAACCTGGTGAGCATGTGCAAACAAAAACTAACCTCAAGTAGCCCAGGAGAAAGTAGGCTGGGTCAGCGATGGAAGTGGGGAATCCAGGTGAGTGGAAGAGCAGAGGAAAAGAAGGGAAAAAAGTAAAACAGGAAATGTCTGATAAATTGTTTTAAGCACTTGAAAAACAGAAAATTGGGATCACATCTGAGCAAGCCTGCTTTCCTGGCTAAAGGAACAAGTCTTTAATTTTTTTTGGGGGGGATGTTGTTTTGCTTTCAAAACAGTTTCTCTGTGCATCTCTGACTGTCCTGGAACTCTGGAGGTGGGGCTGACTCCTCCTGGAGTCAAAGGTGGGTGCCACCGCCACCCTGCAAATATTTTCAATTTTCATTCGACTGTATGTGTATGGGTGTTCTGTCTGTGTGCCAGTCTCTTCTGTCACACATGTGACTGAGGAGATCCCCTGGAACTGGGGTGACAGACGGTCATGAGCTCCTATGTGGGGTGCTGGGAATCACACCCAGGCATTCTGGAAGAAGAGCCAGTGATCAGTGCTTTTAATTGCTGAACGATTTCACCAGCCCCAAGGAATACTTCATGTGGTTTATAAAAATGAATGTTTATTTTATGGTTTCATGTATGGGCACATGCTACACATGTGAGATCAGAAGACAATCTGCAGAGTCAGTCTGTCTTTCTACCTCTTGGCAGCAAGAGCCTTTAGTTGTTGACCAGCCCATATGTAGGTTTTGTCCATCTTCTGATTTGTCTTTGGTAGTGTCTCACCATGTAGCCCTGGCTGGCCTAGAACTCACCACGCAGACCAGCTGGCTTCACACTCACATAGATTCAACTTCCTCTGCCTCCTACTGCTGGAATTAAAGGTGTGCACAACCAGCACTTTTTTTTCTTTCGAGACAGGGTCTTGGTATGTTGCTGTGGATGCACAGAACTCACAGTAGCCTAGACCAGACTAGAACCTAAAGAAATCCTGCTAGTATTGCCTCTGCATCTGCCCCAGAGCAGGGCTTACAGGTGTGTACCACCACACCTGCTAAACTATTTTTCCATTAGAACTGGGGAAAGGGCTTGTTGCAAAATCCTCAGGACCTGAATTCAGATCCCCAGAATCCATGTAAAAAGCCAGAGGTGATGGCATATGCCTGTAACTCTAGCCCTAGGGGGGCAAAGACGGGTGAATTCTGAAGCTCCATCGCCCACCCAACATGCCTGGCCAAATCCTTGAGTTTCAGGTTCAGTAAGAGACTGTCTCAAAAACTAAAGGTGGAAAGCAGTTAAGGCAATTAACATATTCACACACAAAAAAATTTTAAATTAATCTTTAAAAAATTTCATGTGCATTAGTGTTTTACCTACATGTAGGTCTGTGAGGGTGCCGAATCCCCCAGAACCAGAGTTACGAACAATTGTAAGCTGCCATTTGGGTGCTAGGAATTGAACCCGGGTCCTCTGGAAGAGCAGCCAGTGCTCTTAACCTCTGAGCCATCTCCCCAGCCCCCACAAAAACATTTTAATATCTCCAGCACTTGGGTGGCAGAGGTAGGCAGATTATCTGTGAGTTTGGGATCAGCCTGGTCTACAAGAGCTAGTTCCAGGACAGGCTCCAAAGCTACAAGAAACCATCTCTCAAAAACAAAACAAAAATTTAGTATCTCAAAAGAATATCCAAACGATCTACCACCCTAGGGTAGATCTACTTTTCAGTGAGACTTATTTCGGTAAACATTTGCAAGTTGCTGTTAAGCTCCTTGTTGATGGTTTATTTGGGTTGAGACAAGGACTCTACATAGTCCTAACTGTTCCGAACTCAGCTCTGAAGACCAGGCTGGCCTTGCACTCAGATCTGCCTGTTTCCCAAAGGCTGGAACTAAAGGTGTATGTCACCATATCTGACTGGTAGGTTCTTTTTAACATATACATTTATTGATTTATTCATTTATTGGTGGTAAGTAGGCAAGTGCTCTCCCAGTCCTTTTGAAATTTTTGAATTTCTCACTAAATAGTCCCGGCTGGCTTTGAACTCAAGTCTGTATCCTAGACAGACCTTGAATGTTCTAATCCTGCCTCAGACATTCACCACCAGTCCTGGCCTAAATGGACTTATTTTCTTAAGATTATCTTCCCACGGTGACTTAGCCTTGAATTTGTGATCCTCTTGCCTCAAACTCCCAAACAGCTTGATACAGGCACATGTCCTACCCACCCCCAGTGCTTCTTTGTTGCTATTTTGTTTTTTGTGGTGATACTGGGAACTGAATATTGAATTCACCGAGTTTTTCTGTGTGTTTTAGGGTTTTTTTGTGTGTGTGTGGTTGTTTTTTATTTTTTTTGAGACAGGGTTTGTTTCTCTGTGTAGCCCTGGCTGTCTTGGAACTCGCTCTGTAGACCAGGCTGGCTTCTAACTCACAGAGATCCACCTACCTGTCTCTGTCTCCCAAGTGCTGAATTTAAAGGCGTGAGCCAATCTACTGAATTCAGAGTTTTATACATACGTTACTACCTCTAGTCCATAGGTAACTTCGTTACCTTAACCCAGTTCTGGAGTCTGAGGAAGGTGGAATTGGGGCTGAGGAGCTGTACATCTCGAGCAGTCATGGGCACGCATTTTCTATCAAGGACTAGATAGTGCCATTGTAGGTTCTGAAGGACATTCAGCTGTTACCCGATTCTGTTACTTTTGACAAAAGGCGCACGTCCTACCCGTGTAGACAGCAGTCTGTTGTTTGTAGCTGCATATTGGAAACATCAGAGCAGCCCATAAAATCACAAGTGTCCAAGCTTTTAAGTTTTTTACTATGAAGCTTGGGCTGGCCTTAAATCTATAATCCTCCTGCTTCCTCCTCCAAAGTGCTAGGATTATACATGTTCTATCACACATAGCTAGAAAGTTGCTTTTTAAAAAGAGATTTATGTGTACAAATATATTGCCTGCATGTATGGATGTATGTGCGCTTTTTGCAATCCTGGCGCCCAAGAAGGTCAGAAGAGGGCATCAGATCCCTGAACTAGCTCCCTCTCTACAGAGCCCTGGCTGAGCTGGAACTCACTATGTAGACCAGGCTGGCCTCTCAGAGATCTGCTTACCTTTGCCTCCTGAGTGCTGAGATTAAAGGCGTGTGCCACCACCTGGGCCAGAACAAGCTCTTCAGACTTGCTTGTTATCAGACTGGCTAGGAACTGAACTAGATTCAGCCTCCCACGTAGCTGGGACTGAGCACACCTAGCTTCAAAACTCTAAAGCTACTGCATTCTGGGCTGGATACTGCTGCCCTCAGTCGACTTCAGCTGTTTAGCAAACTGTTTGGATTGGGTGGCAGAGAACAGATGAACGAACGGACAGGGATCCTGCGATACAACTCTCAGAACTAGATTAACGTTGGAACCATTTTTTGTCCACCTACCAAATTAAATGCTTGTAATACTTGATTAAATGTTCTTTATTTGAGTTTTTCATGTGCAAAACACTACAAGGGCTTGTCCAACCCAGCAAGGTGGTCATGAGAAGGGTCACGACCTCTAAGCCTTCTACCTAGCCCTCTTTCTCCAGCCATTCCTTATAGGCCCCAGCATAGTGTCGAGCCCTGTGAAGAAAAGGAGTGTTGAGAGAGGAATAGGTCCCGTAGGCCGTCCCCAGTCAGTCCCCAGTCAGCAAGTCTCACGCCTTGTCATACCCTGTGTATCCAAGACTGTGTGCCAGCTGTGTGGCCTGGGAGCCTCGCTTGCCCATCTGACAGAAGAAAACGAGATTCTTGTCTTCAGGCTTTGGCTTCTCAGCACTGTACAAAGCTCGGAAAGCAGCTGGGTCCATGGTCAAGGCGCTTTCCAACTCAGACACTGAGAGAGGACAAAATCGAAAGCCAGTGGCACATTGGGGTTCACAATGTGGGCCTAAAAAGCTGAGTCCTGGCCGGTCTGCAGACATTGTCCACATATGGTGGCCACCCCACACCAACCTCCAAGACAAGGAAGAGCCTACCAGTGCGGGGAGTTAGGCCAATGCAGCCACTTTCTGGGTCCTAAGGAGGCAGCAGATGATCAGGTAGATTAGGGAATCCAGCTTCAGGCAAACCAAGTATATAGGGGCTGATCTACCCCCTCTGGCTGCTGCTGTCCCCTCAAACTGGGTAAGCTAGTTCCACTGCCAGGATTCTCCATTCGGCCTTTCTCTAGGAAACCCGAGGGCTGGCCTGAGCAGATATAAGGCCATCTCTATCTCTACCAGCATCATTCCTACCCTGAGTGAGGTCCCTTTAGCTAAGACCAACATGGACTGTCACTCTGCCAACACAAGAAATTCTATACCAGGGATGTTGAGTGCCCCAGGGATGGTACCAGCTTCTGCTTCCTCCCGAGATCGAACATCGAAGAGCCGGGCCCTGCCTGAGGCTAGGAGTGACCGTAGTTCAGATAACGAGACCGTAGGCACTGAGAAAGACGACAGGAAAGAATCAAGGGCTGGGGGACCACAAGACACCTGTGGTCTGTGCCCTCTCCCTGGGAGCTTCCCAACCCAGTGGAGCTGCGGTCACACCCCTATGCTCCTCTCTGGGACCAGCATACACAGCCCCACTCCCACATCCCAGGTACCCCCATATCCTTCTCGGGTACCTCCACTCATGGTGCCAGCAGCAGCAACTGTGTGACAGAGACGCAGGAATGCAACCCGCAGCATCTCCCCTCCCTCCCTGAGTCCAACCAGGGAGACCGGAAATAGAAGCAAAGTGCGGCACCTGGTTGGCACCCGCAGAGCCCCGGAAGCACCTGTTGGTGACAACTCTAATACCAGTCCACAGCTGAAACCTTTAAAAACTGCCCGGTGTAGGCCGGAAATGACATCCAGGTTTGGCACAGGTACCAGCACTCTGGGTAATGAGTATAGGAATACTAACACCCCACCCAAAGCTTGACCCAGCCCTTACTGGTCAAAGGGTAACATGCATTTTCCCTTCCCCTAGAGCCCCCACAAAAGAAAGAAAACAGACAACTGTGGCTCTAAACAATTTTATCTTAAAAAAAAAAAAAAGAAAAGAAAAGAAATAAAAAGAACCACCCCCAGAAGGGGAAGGCTCTCGGTGAGCCCCTGCCTATCTTTCACCCTGGCTTCAGAGACTTCTGCAGAGGCCCCAGCTGCTCACTGGCCCCTCGACTACTCATGGGATAGCAGCCACCTACATCCTTCCCCCATCCCGAATAAGCCTGCTCCCCAGAGTCATCAGGTGCAATCTTAGCTCCTGCTCCAGGGAAAGGAAGAACCAGTAGAAGTGCTAAACCCACAGTGTCCACGGACCCTCTGCTGGGCACTCTAAGCAAGCACAAGGCAAGCCCAGATTTAGTGTGTCCAGTGTCCATGGAAACAGCACATGCAATGTGCGGAGGAGCACAAGGGCCCGGGGACTACACAGCGGGAGCAGGCGAGGCTGTCAGGAAGGGTCCACTTCGTGTTTTACACCACTCTCTGCAGACGGCCACACCACAGGCCTCAGTTCAAAGACACGCTTGCCAGACTCCCCTACACGCCAGAAGTAGGCAGTGAAGGAAGGGGCGAGGGATCAGCCTGTTGCTCCCGGGCTCTCTGCAGTTCTAGGGCCCAAAGCCCCTGCATCCCCAGAGTTAGTTGCTGTCATTCTTGATGACGACCTCTAATCCATGGTGCCGTAACTGAGCTCGGAGTAGCAGGTTCTTGTTCTTAAGATCTTCCACCTGCACAGAAAGGCGGCAGTAAGGGGAATGGATAGGAAAAAAAACTGATAATCACTAAGCACAAATTTAGTCACACACCCAGTGCTGAGGAGCACAGTGTGAAGTGTTTTCTAGGGAATCCAAACTGGGTCAGTGGCTACAGGGCTGCTAAGGCGGCCTGCCCTGGCATTTGTCTGACCTGTTGCCGAAGCACATCATTGTCTAGCTGCAGCTGATCCAACCCCTGCAATTCTTCCGACAACCGGTGGTTGCTCTGCCGCAGCTCCTGGATATAATCACAGGCTTTGGATAGGATTCCACCTTTACTCTGCAAGGCAAAGTCAACAAAATGAGGACAAAGGCTTGACACACCCTACTTACTGTCCAAGAGCACACTCATACTTCCAGCCTATGTCCCTCAGAGTGGTGACAATTGTCTCACAGAGTACGAGGGAAAGTGGACTGCCATGAACGCTACTCGCCACCATTTCTGATAATAATGCCAGGAGACAGAACTCTAGCCTCCTCCCTGCTACCAGGGCCTTTCCATGACCTGGCCAGACTTGGTGCTCTCCATAGAGCAATCTGGGATGATTTTGGACAGCTGCACAATCCAATTGTTGATCTTGTCCCGGCGGCGGCGCTCCACTGTGGGACAAAGTGGAGGACACAGTGACTCCGTGAAAGATGAGCAGCCCTTCCCCCTCACACATCACTGCAGTTCCCAGATTTACTCAGGTGGCTTCACACCTGGGTACTCCCTACCTTCATTATGCTGAGCCCTGCGTTTCTCATCCCGAGTTGTCCTGGGAGCCTCTGACTTCCTGATGGTAGAGACCAGGGTGATCAGACCAAGTTAAAGGTAAACAAGCAAAAAAGACTGTTTAGGGTGAAGAATTACACAACATTTAGCAGGCATTAAAATCACTCAAAACAACTAAGGAGAGATAAGGTCACTCACGGGGAATAAGGGTGGGTCCTGGGGGCAATTGAACGCTGGCTCCCTCCCTGCAATACTTCTTGTGGTGACATCATCACAAAGAACTGACCTGTGAAGGCGTTGAGTTAGGTTTTTGTCAGGATCTAGGGCCAGGAGCCTCACCAAGACCTTAGGACCCTTTAGAGAACATACTACCATCTGCTGGTAAAGCGGCTCAGACCCGCTATATGCCCTGATTTTGCAGGGGGAGAGGTTCATACATGGTTTGTCTAGGTAGTCCTGGAACTCATTCTGTAGACCAGGCTGACCTCGAACTCTCCAACAACCTGCTTCTGCCTCCTGAGTGCCCATATTAAAGGCATGTGCGACCACCGCCCAGCAACCTGATTGTAGAATCACTAAGTCAAGTGCTAGGGCCCAGAGTCCCCAGCCACAGCCCACAGTAGCCCCTCCGGCTGCCATTCTCACCAGTACTGGGAGGGGTTGCCTGTCCCAGCAGTGCCTCTGAGCCTTGGGTGGTAACGACAGCAGTGGTACTCCCAGACGTGGTACCCCCTGACCCATCTCCCACCGCAGTGCTGGGAAAGTAGGTATAGTGTGTTTCAGCAGCTGTTCCCTCCGTGTCAACTGCATCATCACTGGTGAAAGCGCCCTGGATCACTGCCTGAGAAGGGAAGTGAGAGCAGAGTCCAGTCAGTCAGGGGCATATTCCCCACTATCACCCTCAAGTTTCCATCCCTTACCAGAAGGAAGGAGAAACACATGTGGCCAAAGATAGCTATGAATGCAACCCAACACAAAACTATCCTTACTTAAAATATGAATTGTTTAATTCAATTGTGTGAGTCTTTTTTTAAGACTTATTTTTATACATAGGAGTATTTTGCCTGCATGTATGTATGTGTATGCCTTTTGCCCGAGGAGGCGGAGGATATTTGATATCCTGAAACCAGATGGCTGTGACCCACCATGCAGATATTAAGCACTGAACTCAGGTTCTCTTTAAAGCAAAAACTGCTCAGAACTGCTAACTGCTAAGCCATCTCTCCAGCCCCAACTGCATTGTTCATGGTCATGATCTTTGTAGATGACAGGGACATGTCTCAATGACAATACTTAAATGACAAGTTTGACTATTATAAATGACGATTTATAATTTTAATACAAGTTGAAATATACATATAATAAAATTGACCTTAAATTTGTGTCAATAAACCAAAGTCCATACCAATGTAATGTATCATTTCTATATTATATTCCCCCCTTTCTTAAAAGAGATTAACTATGACCATTAACCATTTATAATCAATCCCCCCCTTTAAATGAAAACAAACATTTATAAACAATCATTTTGGGAATTTGTATTCAGAAGACTGAATACATCTGAACCTAGTCCTTTGGGTCAAAGCCACCCAAGATGCATCCCACTGTTCTAACCCAAGCCCTCCTTCCTCTTGGCTCTGTAGTTTCTCTTAGTGCTAAGAGCTCTCTAGTCCTCTCACGGCTTATCCCCATACCTGGGTCATAGACTGAGTGGCAGGGTAGCCACTGATGGCACCTGTGCCTTCTGTCTGGCCATCCAGCTGCCCCTCAGACACCTGGATCACCCTGTACATCACCTAGAAGCAATAAAGAGGGGTAAGGGATGGGAAGAGAAGTCAAGAATAAGTATCCAGAATCCTAGGCCCGCTCAGAAAGTGCCTCTTGGGCAGGGCAGTAGTGGTGCATGCCTTTAATCCCAGCACTCGGATCTCTGTGAGTTCTAGGTCAGCCTGGTCTACAAGATCTAGTTCCAGGACAGGCTCCAAAACTACAGAGAAACCCTCTCAAAAAAAAAAAAAAAACCAAAAAAAAAAATTAAAATAAGGGGCTGGAGATATGACTCAGAGGTTAAGAGCATTGCCTGCTCTTCCAAAGGTCCCGAGTTCAATTCCCAGCAACCACATGGTGGCTCACAACCATCTGTAATAGAGTCTGGTGCACTCTTCTGGCCTGCAGGCATACACACAGAATATTGTATACATAATAAATAAATAAATTTTTATTTATTATTAATTTAATAATTTTTATTTATTTATAAAACAATAAATAAAAATAAAAAGTCTCTTGGATTGAGTCCCAGGGACCGTTCAGAAGCAGACTCAGCTGTCTGTCCCTTCTTTCCTCATTCTGAAGTTTTCGCATATCCAGCCCCACACCAACCTCTCTTAGCCTCCTATTAACATTTCACCCCAATCTCCAAGTCATAGCTCCCCAAATGTGTCCAGGCACCTCCCTTGAGCCCAAACCCAGGTAACATCTGCAGCCACCTGGCCCCCTCCCTTACCTGGCCCCCATTCTCAGTTCGGAAGACGTACTTGACGTTGGGATCGGGGAAAGTGGCAGCTGACTGGATGCTGGCGATAGCTACACTAGTTGGGTCCTCTCCAGTAGCCACTGCACCTAAATTAAAAGAGGCAAAGAGGGACGTAGAAAAAGACAAGATCTCCTGAGTAAATTGGGAGCATGGAGACCATGGGAGAGGGTCGATGAGGAAGGGAAAGGAAGGGAGCAGAGAAAAATGGAGAGCTCAATAAAATCAATTAAAAAAAAAAAGAGGTAAAGAAAGATCTATGAGTTAACTGCCTTTCTCCTTGTTCTACTTGCATGGCATTTAAAAGACCCACGGTACACAGAAGATGGGCCAGTCAGCTGAAGAGGGAGGGAGGTTACGATGGGTACTTGGTCTTGATTTTAGCATTCACCTTCCTGAATCTGCACCGTCCCCTCTTCGGTTTCAGCTGTTTTCTGCTGCCTATTTGTGGTGAAACGAAAACAAAGGGAAGACGTGAGAAGCTCACTGGCTTAGTGACATGGCGCCCAAACTCACGAGCATTCACAACAGATGTTAGGTTAGGTAATGACAGTACTTTACTGCCAGGAAACAACAGATAATTGCTGCCAGTCACGGTGGCGCACGCCCTTAATCTCGGCACTCAGCAGGCAGAGGCAGGCAGATCTTTGTGATTTCTGAGGCCAACCTGGTCTACATAGTAAGTTCCAGACATTTAGGGCCATAGAGGTATATTCTGTCTCAAAAACAAAATGAATTAAAAAACAACAACAACAAAAAAAAACCTAGTGAACTAAGTGTTTGCCATGTACATAGAATCAGGCTATAGTCACTTTTTTTTCTTTTTGATTTTTCAAGACAGGGTTTCTCTGTGTAGTCTTTGTCCTAGAACTTGTTCTGTAGACAAGGCTGGTCCCACATTCAAAGATCAGTCTGCCTTTGTCTCCCAAGTGCTGAGATTAAAGGCATGCACCACTACCGCCCAATGGATGATGTTAATAACAACATATGAAATCAATAATGCTACCTACTTTACAGTTACAGAAACTAAATCACAGACCTGGTAAGTGATGGAGCTGGGGGACCCAAATTCAGTTCTGCCTGAATCTAAACTCTCAGCCACTTTGCATTCTCCATGGTCATCCTTCTCTCATCCAGACACCACTTGTCACTTACCCCTTCATCTCTCTGTGTGGGGCTCATCCGAGGATCTGGTCTCCTTCTGGAAATCTTCGTATCTCCTGACTGAAAGGTCTGAGTGCTAAATCCTGGTGAAATTATAGTTTACAGTGAGGCCAGGCAACAGAACAGCTTTCCAAGTTCTGGAACCTAGGCTCCAAGAAGACATAGCCAGGAAAATAAACTAATTATCTCAAAGGACAGTCAGTTTCTCCAATTCTGATGGCAAGGGCTGGCCTGTAGTGATTGAAAAGCAACTCTTCATGAGACATGGTGGCTCACTCCGAGAATCCTAACACTCCAGGGAATGAGATAGGAGGATTGGTGCAAGTTTGAGGCTAGCTTTGGCTACAGAATGAGACCTTGGAGAGAAAAAGAACCAGGTGTGCTTGCCCATGCCTGTAATCCCAATACTTAGGAGGTTGAGGCAAAAGAATTAGGAATTTAAGGCTATCCTGGGTTGCAAAGCAAGTCTTAGGCCAGGTTGGGCTACAAGAACTTGTCTCAAAAACAAAAACAAACAAACAAAAAACCCATAAGCTCAGGGACAAAAGCACTTGGAACTGAAACCTAAACCTACACAAGAAAGGGGTGCAGCAGGGAGAGCAGGGACGCCGTCGTGAGCACCTGTAAATCACAGCACGCCTCGATGGACTGACGAACAGGAGAGGTAAGGGAATCCCTGGAAGCTGGGTGGCAAATGCAGCAGTGAAGAGACTCTGTCTCCAACAAGGTAGCAAGGCAAGGACCGACACCCTAAAGTTGTCCTCTGAACTAAAGAGAAAAAGCAGGCTGTTAAGATGGCTTAGCAAACTGGGCAGTAGACATCCACACCTTTAATCCCAGCACTGGGGAGGTAAAATGAGGCAGGATTGCTGTGAGTTTGAGGCCAGCCTGGGCTACAGGGTGAGTTCCAGGACATCTATTGATGTGGACTATTACTTTATCTAGGCAAAGATGTGTTACATTTATTTATGCTGCATTTGTTTAATTATGTAAAGATGTGTTGCTGTTTTACTTTGCCTGCCTAAGGGTCCTGACTGACCAGCCAATAGCTAGGCAGTAGAGGGATAGGCAGGGCTGGCAGGCAGATGATAGAATAAATAGGAAGAGGAATCTAGGCTTGGAGAAGAGAGAATAAGGGAGAAAGAGAGGGACACACCCAGGGCCAGAAGTCAGGCACTGCCAACCAGCCAGACACAGAGGAAAAAGGAAAATAAGATACACAACATAAAGATAAAAAGCCCCAAGGCAAAACATAGATGAAGAGAAACAGGTTACTCTAAGTTATAAGAGCTAACAAGAAACAAACATAAGCCCCAACATCCACCTCATCTACGATCTGCTGGAGCACGTGAAGGGACCTAACCTGCAGATCCAAAACTGCATGATCTCCACAACACAGAGCAACAGCAGGATAACCAAGAGAAGTTCCAGTGGGAGTACAGCATCGAGAACTTAGCAGAAACCAGAGGCGGGCACCAGACTAATGACTCTCTGCAATAAACACTTGCAAGTGAAGCAATGATATATGGGAAGGGAGTTTACTGTGTGACGCACTGTGTTACACTGAAGCTTTCACGATGAGATTTTTAATTTTTTCCCTTTTTCCTCTGAAATTTTGTTTTATTTGTGGAGGAATGTGGGGCAGAGGAGGGATTCAAAGGGATAGGGAAATAAATGGGATCAAGATACATGACACACAGAATAATTAAAAAGTAAAAACAAGCATAAGACCAAACATTCATAACTTATAATAAATTTCTGTGTCATGATTGGGGGCTGGCGGTCAAAGCCTTCTACAATCTACAGCTACAGAGAAGCCCTGTCTTGAAAAACCAAGAAAGATAAGACTAACTCCTGAAAGCTGTGCTCTGACCTCCACAGGTGCACAGACCACATGCATGTATGTACACACACATACCATAACTTTTTTAAAGCAACTTTTAAAATAATGTTCTTTGCTCTCTCTCTCTTGGTTTTGGTTAAAAGTGGGCTTCTCTGTGTAGCTCTAAATGTCCTGGAACTCACTCTGTAGAACAAGCTGACCTCCAACATAAAAATTCTGCCTGTCTCTGTCTCCCTGAGTGCTGGGCTTAAACACATGCACCACCACCGCCTGGCTGTTCCTCCTTAGTCATTCAAACTCCAAGAGGGGAAGGAGATAATTATACTGGAAGGCTGAGAAATAATGTGTTTCAAGGTGCATTATTGAAGCAATTATGGATTATTACTAAAGCTATTATATTCTGCTATGACAGCAGTTTCACAGGAATAGCAGGGCCATATTTAGACCACCACTATCAAATAACACCCACCCTGTTCCTTGATGCCGGGTGGTGATGGCACACACCTTTAATTCCAGCACTCGGGAGGCAGAGGCAGACAGATCTCTGAGTTAAAAGCCAGCTGGTTTACAAAATGAGTTCCAGGACTACACTGAGAAACCTTGTCTTGGAAAAACTAAAGAAATTCTAGTTCACACCACACATTTTGGTGCACGTCTGTAGTCCCAGGACTCAGGAGGCAGAGGCAGGTGGATCTCTTTGAGTTCTAATACATCCTGGTCTACATACTGAGTTCCAAGACTCTGTATAGTGAGATCCTCAAAATATGAGGCTCATCAAAGTGAGATGTCTCAAAATAAAATAACAACAAAAAAGAAATTCCAGTCCTCAAGTTTAGAAAGGGAAAACCGGAACCTCTTTTTGCCACTGGAAAACCATCAGGAACCACAAAACCTAGATTTGGCTCTTAGGCACCATTCTACTGTCAGGGCTGTTGGTTTGGGGGAGTCCAGATTTACAGCAGCTGTTACAAGCTCTAAAGCCCAAGCGCAACATATTCAAGGCTTCTTTTTTTATTCATCAAGACTTCCTGTAGAGAAACACAGTTGCTAAAATGTTGCCATGACAACTTCAAATCAACTAAGCCTCAGGAGGAAGGGGGGCGGGAATCCAGGCTCAGGGTTCTGAAGGAGAAAAGACAATGGGGGAGGAATCCATCTACAATGTTTCTGCCTTAGAACTCTTGACTCCCGGCCAGAGAACTGGAAAAACAAAGAACTGAGCAGACAGATGCCTTCAGAAACAGCTGCACAGTACAACGCAATAAAAATAATCTCAGCAAGAAAGGGTAAGATTTTTGTAAACTGTCTACCCGTAAGATCCTCCAAACCTTCATAATCCAAAGAAAATCTTAGTTTAGTGGATAATCACCTTGGAAAGCCCGCGTGCAAAGAAAATGGTAACAATAACAACAAAGAGGAACTGAAAGTGAAACTGCCCGTCCAAAGTAATGCTGCAAAGGGAGACAGTGCCAGTGTTAAGGGACCACTAGGTCTCTCTCCATCCTCAAACGCCAGGAGGAAGGGCACCTCCGAAGCTAGTTGCATGGCATGCAGGAGGCGGCAAGGGAGAAGGCAAGGCACAGGAGGTAACTGTATAGCCCACAACTGTCAGAGCAACTTCTGAGGCCACCCAGCAACGGGGTTGTTAGGCTACTTACTCAAACCTTGGTTGTACATCCGGAAGCGTTTCCTGAGCATTAAGAATATGTGACACGGAAATCAGCATAGGGTGTTGTGGTTTGCACACTCAAAAGGAAGGCCCAGCAAACGCCCTCGCCAAGTACGGAAGCAAAGGCAAAACAAACAAACAAACAAACAAAAGGATCAAGTTCCAAAAGAATTCAGGCGCCAGAACCTGGCTGGAGAACGAGGCGTCACCCTGCAGGCCCACCAACTAGTAGGAGGCGCTTGGGGAGTCGAGCACCCGCCAAGCGCGAGCCCCAAAGCCCGCGCGCTGACCCAGCCAGCCCAGCCTTGCTCACCCCGCGTCCCGGCTGCTCCGCAGAGGAGACGGGAAAGGACGCCGGGGACCTCTCCAGGCCTGCGGCTGGCAGCTGCGGCCCGCGGCGGGACACCGCGGGAGGGTGGAACGTGTGCACTCCGGAGCGGGGAGCGAGCTCGGCCCACAAAGCAGGGCAGGAGTTAAAGAGCTGGCCACGGCCCCCTCCCCCAAAACAAAGGCTCCGTGCCCAGGCGCTGCCTGGCCTGACACAATGAAGCAACACCAAAGCTGCCCCGCCAGGCCGCTCCACCTCGTCTCCAGACGCCGGCTGGCTCCGAGGCACTCACCGACCCAAGCCGCTTTAGTCGCCAATTTCCCCCGGCAGCGTTCTCCCTCTTTGGATCTAGGGCGCTCCATAGACAGCTGCTCATGCGCAATCGCAGCCTGCAGCCATATTGGTGAGGGGCGGAAGTGTCTCCTCGACCCGCCCAGCTGGCCGCTGGGTTCCCAGGACCGCCCTGTTTCCGTTAGCTTCGAACTTCGATGCGCGCTAAAGCCGGCGTGGGGATGCAAGTTTTTACGGGCCCCGAAGAGAAGCAGTATCCTTGGGGACGGCGCTAGAGTTCCAGCTGTTTTCAGAAAGAACCAGAAAAAGTCTATAAACTGTACTTCCATCTTGGTGCGAGGCGGAGCCTTTTTAGTTCCGCTCAAAGGAAGTAGGGGGAGAAACGGCGTTCTTCGGCGCCATCTTTAACAAGGGCAATTTGGGACGCCATCTTGGATCAGGGCATCATTTTTAGGGGTTTCCAAGTGGACACTGGGACATTTCTGGGCATACGTAGATCAGGGTATATTCCTTTGTACTAGCGTCAGCAATTCCCCAAAGACTTCATAGCCTCCAATTTTTCTGAGGCTCATATGGGACAATTTTGATTACCATTTTTCTCATTCAGGGTGATACCCATGATGGTTTTTGAATAGTGACGTATAGAATTCAGATTCTGAAACCATTCCAGACCCCGATTTTAAATCCACAACTGACCCCCCCTTTTTTTTTGAGACAGGATCACTATGTAGTTCTGAACTGTTTTATATAGACCAGGCTGTCTCTGAAGTCACATAGATTCCCCAGCCTCTGCCTCCTGAGTGCCTAAGTTAAAAGCGTGTGCCTGCCACTGGAAACTGCCACTTCTTTACCCTGAGATCTTTGATAAGCATGCATTTTTACTTAATTACAGCTTAATTTTCTCATCTGTAAAATGGAAATACTAATACCAACCTTACCAAATTAAGTAGATTGAATAAATTCAAGGGCAAAGTTTTTATGCACATAAATCTAGCCCAATTCCTGGCATTAGATGAACATTATGTAAATACAGGTTTCTCTTCCTCATTTCTTGACCACCATGAACCCAGTTCTACTTTCTAGCTCCAGGTTCCCATGACAACTGAGGAAGAATATCTAAACAAGATATATACATTTTGGCAACATTCAAATGTGATACCTTTCCCCCCAAGACTTTAATAAGAGTAAGTCCATACACTATTAAGTGTAAAAAAAATCAATTTTTATTATCAAACAGCCACCATGGCTAAATGAGGCCTCTAGCTCCCGCCTGTGCAGAGAAACAGTGCCAGGACCAGAGTGATGATCAGACATCCCGTTCCTGAAATAGGAGGTTATTCTAATGGGAAAAAGAAAGACCAGAGAGATCTGTACAGGACTTCTTCTGCAAATAATTGAAGGCAGAAGATGCCATCCATTTCCTTCAGTGAACACTGAGGACTTTAAAGAGCTTCTTGGATGTGTTTCCCCTAATCTGGAGCTAAAAGGGTCAGGATATAGCTAAGGATCTGGGAACAAAACAGGAGTGAGCAATTCTGTATCTGGCCCTGTATTTTCCACATCTGTCTTGGGCTTCTATGAAGAGACGTTCACAGTCTCAGAAAAGGGCAGGAGTTTGACTGGAATTCCCCATTATGTATTTAAATTTAAGAAAATTAATAAGTTTCTACCTACCCTATGTTTTGGTTAATAATCACAACTTCATGGGAATAAGATCTTCCTACATTTCTTAAGACTCTGCTAAGAGATAAGTGCTTTGTGTCTAACACAAACTCAAGTAAACCCACCAGGGCAGTGCCTCCCGTGTCAAAACAAGTAGCTGGAGGACCCAAGCCTATGGAATTGGGCACTTCAGCTGTCAAGGGTGAAAAGACAGCTAGCTAGGCAAGGGTTTCAGAGATTAATGACAAATTTCTGATTCCTCTTGTTCCATCCTAATCACAGCCCTTCTTTCCCATGGTTAGTCTGTGTTTCAAAGGCATATGTCTGACGCTGAGGGGACGTAAGAGGGACAGGGGGGTGAAGCTCTCTAGGGGGCAGGCTAAGCCGACTCCTGGGCTCAGATCCTTCTGTGCCTTCAGGTGGGAGTTCCAGACAGCTAAGGGGCCGGGAAGAATGGGCAGGAATCATGCTACAGGGAGAGGTTCTGGAGTTGAGGCTATAATCCCCACCTCCAGTACAAGTCTGGGTCCGCCGAATTCCCTGTGCCTCAGTTCTCTGGCGTTCTCGGGCCAGGGCCACAGCAGCATCAAAGGAAAGACTACCCCCATTCCTCCAAGAAGCACGAGACCCCCAAGCTCTTTCTCCAGGAGTCCCATCAAGCCTACCAGGTCTTGGACATGGGCTTGCAGGTGCTACATGGATCTTACTACACATTGCGCTGGGCATCTTGGCAAACTGTGGTTTGGGGGGCACTACAGGAACAGAGCGGACCTGTTGGACCTGAACTAGAGTGGAAGCCAGGCGCATGCCCACACCACCAGTTGAACCACAGGGACAAGAATACATGTCACATGCCTCAGAACTGAGCTGTCCCTCAGCCTCCATCCCCTCTGGTTCAGATGGCTGTGGAGGGCCTTGTTCCATCTCAGAAGACTGTTCATTGACTTCTTTTGTACTGTCAACCTCCAGGGACTCCACACCTGGTTCTTCAGAGAGGGCCCCCTCTCCTAAGTGGTCACCAACAGCTCTCTTGCCTTCAGTTTCTATATCTATACTTTTTTGTTCCTTGCTGACCTCCCCTTCCTCCCCATTATCATTGTCTTCTACTGGACTTCTACCATCTGCACTGTGTCCTTGGTCTTCTCTTGACTGGTGCTCAGTATTCCCCCTCAGGCCTTTGATCTCATCCTTGTTGCCTTTCTCAGTCTCTTGGTTGTGTACCACTTCCCAGCTCTCTCCGGGAAGCAGGTATTCCTGGACCGAATGCTCTGGATCCATTCCAGTTTCTACGGGGGTGTCCTCTCCTTTCTCAGCTCCTTCTTTTCTCCCACTCTCTCTTTCCTGCTTGTCTTTATCCTCTTCTTTTGTTTTCTCCGTATCTTTGGCCTCTATACTTTCAACCTCTTGACCACTGGAATTTCCTTCCACGGTCTCTATCTCTTCACTATTCCCCTTTTCAAAACTAGCCATCACCTTTTGGCTTCTTTCCCCCTCCCCTCCTTCCTCATCAGCTTCCCCAGCTTCCATCTCAGCCTCTGGAAGTGCCTCAGCATCTTCCCTGTTAGCCAACATGCTTCCAGTCCCAGCTTCCTTGTCATCTTCAGCTTCCTGGCTCGCCTGTTTCTCTTCAGCCTGTGTTGGAGGTTGTTTCCCACATCTCGCTGCCTCTTCCTCCAGACTCCCCACACCCTCCCAGTTCGTGGATCTAGGGCCCAGAAGAGGACTCAAATCATCATAGGCACTCAGGAAGACCTCTTCCCCGTTTTCTTCTTCCACATCAGGTGCGGGACCAGCAGAATCGGGGGAGCAGCAGCTAGGAGCCAGGACATACTGTGCATCATCCAGAGACAGATCATCCAGGGGTGGCTCTACAGAGAACTCTTCCACCTGTAGGCATAGCATTGTGTCTAAGGACCAGGTAGTTCTATCCACGCTCTAGGCTACACACTACCCAAATACCCAGCACAGCTCCTCCTTACCTGAGGCCCAACTCCCAGGAGCTCCTCCAGGTAGCCCATCCCAGGGTCATCCTCCGCAAGGGAGAAAGGTGCTGCTCCTGCGGCTCCTGCTGCTCCTGCTGCTCCTGCAGCTCCTGCTGCTCCTGCGGCCTCTGCCTTGGCCACCTCCCTATCCTCCACCCCCACCCACTCAGGCTCGGAGCTGCTCAAGTCCTCTAGGAAGGAGAAGGAATCCTGCACCTCCTGGGACAAAGAGTCCTCCAGGGCAGGAGTCATGTCTGCCGGGTTTGAGTCAGCCAGGGGACCTGGGACTGATCTTGTCTCCAACTTTTCATCTGTTGGAAGAAAAGTAGTTTCAGAAATCTAAAATTCAAGGTCAGCCCCAATGCTTTCAGGTGTGGGTATTCCTCACATTGATACTCTAGGGGCCCAACACTCCTGGCATGTACTAGTCAACATGGCTCATCCTCTCAGACCAGAATGACTCGCTACTTATAGCTCTCTGTATTCTCACTCAAGTGCCAAGCACTGTGGGTTGTTTGTGTATGTCTTTGTTTTTGAGGCAAGGTGTCACTACATAGCACTACTTGGCCTGGTCTGACTAAGTAAACCAGGTTGGTCTCAACTCACAGGGATCAAGATATCTATGCCTTTTAAATACCCGGATTAAAAAGACATGCACCACCAGCTCTAAGCATTGATGTGTGTGTGTGTGTGTGTGTTTTGTTTTTTATTTTTTTTTTTTTGAGACAGGGTTTCTCTGTAGCTTTGGAGCCTGTCCTGGAGCTAGCTCTTGTACACCAGGCTCTCCTCGAACTCACAGAGATTCTCTTGCCTCTGCTTTCTGAGTGCTGGGATTAAAGGGATGTGCCACCACTGCCTGACTGTGTTTGATATTTTTATAATTAATCTTTATATTTTCCTACAGAATAAAATGTTATGTATAGGGGCTGGATAGATGGCTTGGTTCATAGTGAGTGTATGCCAATATGAGGACCTGTGTTTGGTTTTTTTTAATTTATTTATTTATTTATTTATTTATGAATTTATTTATTATGTATAGTGTTCTGTCTGCATGTGTGCCTGCACATCTCATTACAAATGGTTGTGATATAGCAACAAATATAGTTGCTGGGATTTGAACTTAGGACCCCTGGAAGAGCAGTCAGTGCTCTTAACCTCTGAGCCATCTCTCCAGCCCTGAGGACCTGAGTTTGATCCCCAGAAAGTTGGTGTGCTCTTCTGATCTCAGTACTAGGAAAGAGGGACAGGTCAGTCCATGGAGCTGACCATCCAGCCTACTTGGAAAGTTCCAGGTCATTGAAATACTCTGTCAGAGAAAAAAAAATGTGGACATCTAAGAACAATATTTAAGGTGGCACTCTGGTTCCTATATTCATGTACACACCTGCACAGGCAACTCCCCTACACACAAATACCCTCCAAAAATAAAGAAATATTATGGAGGATGTTGTACCACACCCTTTGTTTGACACAGGTCTCCTGTATCCCAGGCTGATCTCAAACTATGGAGCCAGGGATATCTCAAACTTCCATTCTTCCATCTCCACCTCCGAAGTGTTGGATTACATAAGCCTCCATACCAGGTTTATGTGGTGCTGGGGAGCAAATCCAGTGCTTTATGCATGCCAGGCAAG